CACAACAATCGCCACGCCACTCACTGCAGCAATCACCCCCCAGGGGACCACAGCATCCATTCCAGATGCACCCAGTCCAACCCGGGCCTATGCCGCCACAAACTCAAGGATACCAGCCTCCGACGCTACCCTTGCTTCCACCTCAGCTCATGGGAGGCAACCCCGTTCAGAGGCTTCCTCCGTCTGGTCCCTGGAAACTGGAGGAAAGCCACTTGTCTGAACCTCTTCACCGCGTTACTCCTAAGCCTCAGGCAGTCCCACCATCGGGTCAATGGAAGTTGGAAGAAAGTCACTTGGCCGAGCCCCTTCATATGGTTAACAGAAACCGAGCGGGCACGAATGCCTCGCAAATTTCACAGCTCTCGCAGCGTTCACAACGTTCACAACAGTCCCAAAATGATCCTTTCTACGGCTACAACAAGGAAACTGGAGACGTTCCCCCTTCTCCATCTTCGAGTTCTACGGCTAATAGGCATCATCAACGGCAAAAGCCTTCTGAAGTGCCACCTTCATCGGCCAATCGTTATCCTGGTCTCTTCCCTGGTCATCAACGACAGCCGAGCGGCTCTAAAGATGTTCACCCTGGTCCTGGATCTCAGTTCATCAGACGTTTTTCTCAGGAGGGCATCACCAGAACAGGGACGGGCGACACTACTAATGAAGACCGGGGACGTTCTAAAAAGGCCTCGGCGTTGTTGAAGGACATTGGGCACCGTTTCAGGAAGAGCTCGACCGAGCGACGAAGAACGCCCGTGGATCACCACGGTCAGCAGTTCCATCCTCCGCAACAACAGCAGCAACTTCAGCCACCGCACGCTGACCTGCATCATGATGCGGCTTCCGTCTCAAGTGTGACGATGGACGGAACCCATGACAAGAAGAAGTCGAGAGCCAGTTTCATGCTAGGCCTGAGGAGTAAGCAGAGCCGTGAACGGCTTTCAATGCCTCCTCCTCCACGTCCAGATGACAGCAGGCCCGCTACATCGACGGAAGAGAGAAGAGGATCTCGGCTCAACCCTGACTTCGATCCTGCTTCGGGTCAGTATCGCCCTGCAGGTCCTCCACGCGCAGTTACTTCGAACTTGGCCAACGAGATGAGCCAATCTGCTACCCCTCCAGCAAAGAAGCGATTCTCGGCATTCAATACCAAGGCTGCTATGACAAATGTCTTCAATCGGCCTAGTAGCGGTACATCGTCGAAGCCTGGGACACCCACCTCCTCAAGGCCGATTTCAAGTCACTTGGGAACTCAGCAACCAGTATCCCTGGAGCGCCCTGCTCATCCAGACTTTGAGCGAAGTAGCACTGCCGGTCCTACCTTTAACCAGATGCTTCCGACTCCAACAGGTACACCGCCGGTTGATGCTAACGAGCGCCGTAAGAGGCGGGGTTCGGCTGCTGGACTAATCTCCGGCCTTTTGGGACACGTCCACAAGAGCAAGGAGTCCCAGCAGGCTACGTCACCCCAGATGCAACAGCCTTATGATCGCCGCGCTTCTGGTTCCCAGCTTGGTACCCCTCACCCGCCGGCCCTGCAGACACAGGGACGAAGACCTTCGGGACCCCAACTGACCAGCCCTGTACTTCCAGGCGGTCAGCTTGGAAGCCCTCAAGGCTCTGCGCCGCCATTGGCCAGTCCCCAACCTCAAAGACCTCACCAATTTGGTAATCAGCAGTCGATATCTAGGGAACAATCCCCAATGTCAGCTGCCCGACCTCTTTCTGGTGGGATAAGAGATAACCAGCACGCTCAAGCTGCCTACCGCAACTCACGTCCATCACCTCTGGGCTTTGGCTCTACCACACCAGCAGGGACTCCTCCTATCGGATCAGTGACTGAAGCCAGCCGCCATGGGACTCCACAGACACCTTTCAGCGTGGGACAGAGCGCCCCGGACGCGCGAGCTGGAAGAATGCGATCGATCTCACCAGCTGCGTCCGCAATCAGAAGTGCCCCGACAACGCAGACGTCTTTCAACGTTCCAAGCACGGCCCCAACAACTCAGCCGTCATTCCACCATGCGTCACAATCGTCACAGTCGCTTGACAAGCTCGCGCATGCAAAGCAGGAGGGAACTCGTATCCAACGACCAGTCACAGACTCACCAAACATGTCCTTCAGGCATGAGAATAGGGCTAGTCATGGTGCATCAGATAGTGACATGCCCTTGTCTCCAGTGTCGCAAATGTCCAAGACTGGCCCGCCGTCTGTATCGTCGATGGCTACTCAGAGTCCTCGTCTGAACACTACTACTTTGGCTGCTGGAAGACGACAGTCCTCCCAGCTTTCACAGCCTGACACGCCTGTCGTATCTGCAGTGTCTACTTCTCCACAACGGCAAACTTTTGCCGACAGGATGGGGGTGTCACCGCCACAGCAACATCAACAGTTTCCTTCTGGATTCCAGCAACAGCCTGTGAATGCTCAACAACAGGCACACCCTCAGATGAACCCACAACATGGCGGCTACCAGATCACTCCGGGTCAACAGTACGAGCCCAATCTCCGCCAGCCATCTGCCGGTCAGCCTATGCCAGGCTCATACCCACAAGCCACTTCTCCTGGCCGTCCACCTATGCAGATGCAGCATTCTGGTTCAGGCCCTCCAGTCCCTCCAAAGGACGGCTCGGGTGCTCTCCAGCAACCCCAGGTTGCCGATCAGCCAGCTCGCCAGGCAAGTCCGGGAGCTTCGAAGTGGAAGGGTTTGAGGAATCGCATGTCAGCACAGGTCTCAAGCAAGCCAGCAGCGAGTCAAGGAAAAGGCGAGAACGACAAGCTGACTGCAAGCAAGATCCTTGGGGCATTTAAACGAGGTTCCAAGGAGAATCGGCAGTCAATGGTCATTCCCGATCTGCAGGCTTATCAGAACCATGAGATGCGGCCTATGCAGCGACAACAGCAGCCTCAACAAACCCAGCAAGCTTCGCGACCTCAACAGCCACAGGCTCCTCAGCCGCAGTTTGCTGGTCAAGTTCCACATGGACAGACCCAGTCTCCCCGCCCATCCTCACAGGTCAGCGGCCAACCTTTCGGACAAGTGCCAACTGCTCGACCGTCATCTCAGTTCAGCAACCAGAGTATAGGACAAGCGCAGACCAAGCGTTATTCATCAATGTTTACCAGCCCGGTTATGCCACAGCAAGAGTTCCGAAGCTCTTCTGGCGCTTTCGCTTCAGGTCCCCAGGGTATGAGCCAGCCACAGCCTGGCCACCCATATCAGTCTCCTCAGATGGAGGGCCAGTTCCCGCCGACACAGTCGTCACAGGCTCAATATCATTCTCCGCCACAGCCTCATGGTCAATTCCAGTCTCCTGCCCAACAGCAAGGCCACTTCCAATCGCCTGCTCAACCGCAAGGCCAGTTCGTATCTCCACCCATGCAACAAGGCCAATTCACGTCCCCCATGCAGCATCAGGGTCGCTTCCATTCTCCCGCACAGCAGCAGGGACATTTCCAGTCTCCTCCTCAACCCTCAGGTCAATGGCAACCTCAGATGCCTTCCCCTGCTGGACAATTCCCACCACCTCAACAAAGACAGGCTTCTTATCCTGGCCAATGGCACGGTGGAACAATTGGCCAAAGCCCAAATACGCCCTCGTCATATAGAAGTCCTCAGCATTCTCAGTTCTCGTCGCAGCCTCAAAGTCCGCAATATGGGTTCCCAACAGGACAAAATGTTCACGGGGAGGAATCACCCCCTGTTCATGTCTCGACACCTACTCAGGTTCACTCTCCTACACCAGTTCACGCCCCGTCGCCTCGTCCTTCACTGTTGAACCTGCAAGCGATGGTTGCTGCCAACCCTGAACACGACCACACCCAAGAGGGAGAACATGAGCGCTCAGATGCCGCTCATAGAAATGATCCCAATGCAACTCATCAGGGAACCTCCAACATGCAGAGGTTTAATAGCGACAGTCCCCATAGTGGCAGAAACAGCGGGAGTCCCAGAGTTGGCGGTATTCTTCCATCAGCGCAACACGTCTCCCCAAGAATAGGCACAGAGCAGAACGGTAGCTCAAAGTCCCAAGCTCCTAGTCTTCCCATGCCTGTGCTTGCTGGAGGCGATTTCATGGGAGGCCATGCTGCGCATGGTACCAGTTCACGATTCTCACCTAAAGCAGAGGAGTCTCAGGGCGTGTCGCTCAGTCCCAAGCAATCCCCATCAGGTGGTAGTGATCTCGGCCCTCCCGAACCAAAGAGCAGAAGAGGCCCATCGTTCCATGCTGAACTCGAGGATACTGAGGACGCCCGCAAGCGCACATTGCGAATTGATTCGCAAGAAGAGAAGATTCACTACGATCCCAATGCCGACTCCGATGGAGAGGTTCCTCCTCAGATGAGCGCGACTAGTTATCCTGGTCAAGAGTGGAATCCCTACGGCATGCCCGAGATGGGTGACTGGAACGAGGCGAATGACCGCTAAGCCACTCAATGCCTATTCATCAACCTATACACGCACTACCTACTCATATACGCACGGCATATATCATGCTTCTACCGCTCTACTCGAGATTGTTTCTTAAACTGTCAACCCAGCGATATAAGTCGACCTGTAACGGCCGCCCTTCCCCCAATTCTTGGATATATATTAGTTCATATTAGCCACTACCGGATATACCAGTGATTGGGGTTTTGTTATTTGTCCCAACGCAGCGTGGCGTCGTTGCTTCATGGCTGTACATATGTTACCGTCTATGCATTTACAGAGTTTGTCAAGAGATGGAGTGAAGGGTAATAACAGAATGGAGAGATAGCATGGAAGGGGGTGGAAAAGTACACGCATTAAGCACATCTAATCCTTTAATCATTTATATATACATTTACACTCCTTATGGGCAGGTTAATAAAAGTGCTTTCCTCTGCAAGAATGTGTTTCCTTTCTTGACTGGACTCCAGAAGTGAAATGTAGTGTCCGCCATGTATGGCATTATAAAATTACAAAATTATTTGCGGTTTTGCCTTGGGCACCTTGAGTGCTCAATATGAAATGAAGCTATCAGAAGTCTAAAGAAGCATTCCTGAAAGGTATCAGGGCCAAAATGACGGCCTGTGTATAGTAAGCAGCTCGATCAACAACACCGCCAGTCAATAGCCCAACCGAGCCCTGCTTGTTCTTTGAATCTGTCTGCCCAAATACCATATCATCGGCATGTCCCAGCTCAACACCCTCTTTCAGCAATTGACAAGTCTTCTCTGGTAGAAAATACGCCGAAGTCCGTGCCTTGCCGACCTTGCCATCTTTTCCAATAACAACAATCCAAGCAAAAGAGCAGATGGAGCCATTGTGAGTTTCAACGCCGCCTTCGATGCCAACCCAGAAATCAGCTTCTGGTCTGACTGCTTGAGCGTTCTGTGCTCGATTTGTTGCACCGCGAAGAGTCTCTTCATCTGAGAAGGGCTGATCTGACACGTTGGAGTCTACGCTTATGCCTTGAAAGTCATAAGAGGCTGGAAGCATTTGTGTGAAGCCATCGCGGGTTGCTTTGATTTTGGGGATGTTGTTTGAGGCAACGATGACAAGTCTTTGCTTCTGAGGGGGCTCCATTCTTGATCTTCGAAGAGCGAATTTCTTGGCGAGGACGTTGATTAAAGGACGATTGTTTTGAGATGTGCTCATGGATGCCTTGGCGGTCAAAGAATGGTTATTATGGGTAATGCAACGTTATCCCCGGCCTGAGCTGAGGGGTTTTACAGTGGTTGGAGGTTGGCTTGGGCTGTGTTCCCCACCTGTGGCCGCTATTGGTAGAGCTGATATCAGATCTATTCAGAGCAGAGTCACGATAACCACTTACACTATTTATTAGCTTTCGATAGTCCGATTTCCTTATCAAGATCTGCCACTAAAATAGTTTATTTTCGTAAGTAATCATTATCAATTACCAATCGAGCACAAGCATAAGTAGCCTCAGCTATGCTAAGTTAGCTACATCTAGATACTAGATTCTTGCTCCTCCAAGCTATATCTCAAGATCCCCAAACTTTGGACCAGTCTTGGTCCCTAACCCAGTCTTCAATGCTATCCAGTTGAGGAGACGGATTTAGCTACATACAGATCAGCTTCCATCATTATCTACAAATATCAAGAGAAGCTTACCTCATTGGGGTGAACAGCAGGAGAATCATCACCGCCATGAAGCCCAATTTCGTTGGCAAATGCAAAGTTGTCTTGCAATTCAGCCCTCAACTCTTCTTTGCAATCAAAGCTGAATTCTCCGGGTGGTATGTGTAGTAATTCAGTCTCGTACTCCGTAACTTTACTGAAAATTTGTACGAACTCCCGTGGTGTAATCCAAGCACGATATCCGACAACATTTTTGCCTGGAGGGTTTTGGATTAGGGCTTTAACGAAAGGGCCAGAATCTTGGTCGTGTGATATCAGAGGAACTTTGGTATCGAGGTCCAGGTTGTTTGCGAACTGTATGTTTCCGTTCTCTTTCTGCTGCATCGTCAGTTTGAATATCATTGGATTTGGGCAGCTGTTGAAATCAAACCTTGGTTGGCTGAGCCATTGGATGAGTCAAGAAGTTGCTGAGAAAGTATCCAGGGAGATATATACTCGTCTTAGCCCAAAGCTCTGGCTGGTTTTGTTCACCGTACTCTTCTGCATCTGCTTTGGAGTCATGATGGCAGACATTTGTGTACTTTCCTCTCGATAATTTCGTTGGACCCGGAAGTGAAGACATGATGAACTGTTCCAGGCTTGATACTCTGGCAGCTTCATCGATGATATTCTTGAGTTGTTGGGTTTCTTGAACCTTTGTCCACTCGTTAAGAGCTTGGCCTGGCATTGGTTTGTTTTGATTCTTTGGGTCGTTGTAGATGCCCCAAAAGTCGCTGACCGCAAAGATGACATTTGCGTCTTGGAAGGCTTTGGCTAGTGAGGCCCTGTCGTCCAAGTCGGCTTGGACTACTTCAACGCCGCGGGCCTCGAGGTTCTTTGATTTTTGGCTTGAAGGGTTTCGAGAGATGCCACGGATACGCCATTCTGAATCATTGAGAAAAGAGTTGACGACTGAGCCTCCTTGGCCGCCTGTTGCACCGATGATGACTATGAGCTTTTTGGTGGTCATGTTGAAATTTGAGCGTAGGTAGAGAGAGTATGCTTGATATGGGAGTAGCCCATTACATCTCTACCCATTATATATCCTATAGTCATTTGGTCATTATTAATCGTCTCACCCTCGACCAGTCTCATCACGTTATTCTCATTTTCAGGCCTTGTCTCGCTGTTGGTGTTGGTATTGGTTGGTTGGTGTCTTATACAGGAACGGTTCCACTAAAGTCCGCTCCAGATCCGCCTCTGTCTCACTCTGCCTCCCTATTACCCGCTCACCTCCGTTCTCAGCTCTCAGCTTTTCAGCTTCTCTCTTTCTTTTCTTTCTGCATTTCAATCCATCTCTTCAGCCTTTTTTGTCGGTTTCTCGCCCCCACGCTCACACTCACGCTCACGCTGCAACCCAAGAGATCCTGATTGATTTATAAGCTGCTTTACAATCACTGCAGATCAACGAGGCTGTCAACGTTACCCAGATCGAGATGCCCGTGTCTCGTCATTCATGTGCAACATGTCGGTAAGGTTAAGCCCTCATATCAATTTGAAGCTTCTCTAACTTGTTCAGCCGCCTGAAGAGGAAATGCATGAGAGAGCTACCATCTTGCTCCTTAGTACGGCTCAGAACTAAGGCAGATATAGCCTAAAACTGACGGCTTACAGTGTCGGCGCCTAGGCAAGAAATGTGAATATATAGAACTTCCACCACCTCCAACTGCTCCTCCGCCAGATGGAACAAGCCAGCCGTCTCTATCAGAGCCCAATCAACCGTTTCCCTTGGCCTTCTTCTTGGATCCAGATCTCTTCACGCCACTGACCACCAGCAATGCATTAGCACCTGGGCCAAGAGTCGATCTGCAACAAATTATAGCCAAGCACTTAGAACCAGATGACTTACCAGTCCTCTATCACAATTACTTTTCTTCAGTACATGAGTGGCTTCCCATGATTAGCAGAAAGCGGATCACAAATCCCGATCCTTTCAGTCAAGATGCTTGCCATGATCTGCTACTTTTATGCATGAAGATATGCACGCTCAGACCCAATGGCCACCCTCCATCTCAGCACCCGTTGTACATGTTGGCAAAAACTCTATGTGCCGCTGCTGAAAGTGCAGGCCTAGTTTCACTTCGCCTTGCTCAGTCCCTGGTGCTATTAGCTCTCTATGAAGCGTGCCAGGCTATATATCCTGCCTGTTACCTCACCATCAGTCGGGCGGCGAGACTAGGCATACTAATGAGTTGGCATGATAGAGATGCACAGCAGCTCTTCAAATATGCTGATTCCTGGTCTAAACGAGAAGAGCAGCGCAGAACATGGTGGACTATCTTTGTACTTGATAGGTAAGCTATAGCTCTGCATCCTTGAGCCTCCACCTAATGAAAATGTGTTCAGATTCATCAGCATGGACACAAGTGGGCTACCGTTTTCCGCTCCGGAGCCTTGCCCTGACGAGCTTTTACCAGTCAACGATGAAGACTGGGTCTTGGGTAAGACGGTACCAAGCGAGCCACTGTATACAGCATGCTTCAGCTCCATCACGACTCTGGGCTCCTTTGCTAGAACATGCCAAGCCACTCATATGCTCGGCAAGGTCATTACACACAAACATTTGAAAACCAAATCTTCGCACGATATCCTACATGTTGTCCAGGAAGCGCAGAGCCTTAATAGAGCACTTAACTCGCTACAAATTTCTATTGAAGAACAATCCTTGAGCAACGTTTCTTCTTCCTCAGCATCCTCTTTGGCATGTGCTTCCGCCATTTGCATTTGTGCCCAAGCACTCCTATACGGAGCTTATGGATGTCCTGATGCGCCTGGAATAACAAGTCGAGAACGCTTGACACACGAAACAGAATTGCAGAGTATTAGCGTTCAAGGTCTGAGAGCACTAGGTAGTACTTTGACCCCTAAGCTGGCACAGATTCAGTCGGATTGTCCTCTTCAAGCAAGATGTTTTTATACCGCTTGTAGTGCGTGCTCATGGTTTATTCGGGAAGACAATGAACCGCAGATGAAAGAAGCGTTGGTGACTATCGTGGATGGTCTCAAAAGACTATCTGAGCGTTGGCCAATTGCGAGTAAGTACTTCAGACTTTGTTCCCTGGAGTGAACTGACGGTTTCCAAGCTGAGTACCTTTCTCTGCTCGATCAGGGCGGGATTCTGCGTCTCATTGATACCAGCTCTGAGATGGATATCATGTCTTGAAGACTAATGCTCCTTGGTATTTCAACGGACTCTCAGGCCCAAAAATCATGAGATGGTGCTCGATATGCTGTCCAACATCAAGCATGGCGAATGATTGTACTGGCCTGACATTGACACCACGTGATATGGCTGGCCTCAATTGATCTCCTAACGTCATATATCAGAATGTCAATCACGAGTCACGGTATTCTCCATCAGCAAAGTTGGTCTAAGTTCATGAGTCGCCCAAAAGCATCAGGCAATTCTTAGCAATTGAGTTCATCTAAGTGGGCCTGTCATTCTGCCTTTGGCTTAGCCTGCTCTTTTGGTTGCTGGGTCCGAAATCGGTGGATCACGTCTTTTTTTTCGCCTTTGGCTGAAGAATTCTTCTTATAAACATCCTCTATCCAATTCGCCCTCCATTAGTGGATCTCACAGGGCTCAAAAGCGCTATTGAAGCTCGAGCTTTCGTCAATTGAGCCGAGACTAACAGCAAATACACACAACACAAGCGCCAATGCCTTCGAGCGAACGTCGGCGCCGTGAGGGCCACCAAGACTCTCACTCTCACATCCACGATGGCGTGTTACACGATGAGACTTCGCCTTTGCTTCCGAGGATATCAGAAGTCAGCGAAAATGGAACCGCAAAGTCGTTGACCGACGTCCACAGCCTCTTGGCTGAGGCCAAATTGTTATGCCAATACTCTCTTCCTTTGATCGCGACGTATCTTCTTCAGTATTCTTTTACTGTCATTACAACCATTGTCGCTGGTCGGTTGGGTGCTGAGGAATTGGCAGCTTCAAGTCTGGGCTTGACAACGATCAACATCATTGGGTTCACCATCTTTGAGGGCATGGCCACGGCTCTCGACACATTGTGTGCACAGGCCTACGGGTCTGGCCGCTATACTGGCGTCGGAATGCACATCCAACGTATGATCGTGTTCATGTCAATCGTCATGATTCCTGTCGGCGCAATCTGGCTATGCTCGCACTGGATTCTGCCATTGCTCGTCCCTCAACGAAGCCTCGCCTTGAAGGCTGCCTCTTTCTTGCGTGTCAGTCTCGTCGGACTTCCCGGTTATGCATTCTTTGAAGCTGGTAAGAGGTTTCTTCAGGCGCAGGGTGAATTTGCTCCCGGAATGGTCATTCTCATCATTTGTGCCCCCGTCAATGCTTTTCTGAGTTGGTATTTTGCCGTCAAGCTCGACATGGGCCTTGATGGTGCTGCTTTCGGTCAGGCTCTTGCTAATAACCTTCGACCTGCGCTTCTTCTGTTGTATGTCATCTTCATTGGCAAGAAGTCTCACCGATGCTGGGGTGGCTGGGATAGTCGCGCTGCTTTTGCGTTCCGCGAATGGGGCCCTATGGTCCGTCTCTCTGTTGCAAGCACCGCCGTGAATCTTGCCGAGTGGCTCGCCTTTGAGATCCTCATGGTCAGCACCTCTTATCTCGGTACCCGCCACTTGGCTGCGCAAACAGTACTCAACACTCTCTCCATTGTTACATGGCACATACCGTTCTCGATCAGCGTCGCAGTCACCACTCGCTTCGGTCACCTGGTCGGTGCTGGCGCACTCAAGGAAGCACGACGTGCTGCAATTCTATACACTGGCGTCTTCACCGTAGTTGGTATTCTCGACGGCGCATTCTTGTATGTGCTGCGAAACCCACTTGCAGATATGTTCTCCGACGACAATACTGTCAGAGACTTGGCTACGGGATCCATGGCTGCTGTAGCCTGTTTCCAGGTCATCGACTCAATCATCTGCGGCACGAACGGCGTGTTGAGAGGTCTGGCAAAGCAATCCGTCGCTGCGTGGGTTGTGCTAGGAGTCAACTACCTTGCTGCCGTACCATTTGCCATATGGCTCGAGCTGGGAAGCCCAGACCTCAAGCTCGACGGTCTTTGGATCGGTCTCGGAAGTGGTATGGTCATTATTGCGATTATTGAATGTGTATACATGAAGTGGATCAGCTGGCAAGATTGTGTAAACGATGTGAAGGAGAGGGAGGATGACGGAACATAGTACGTTTTCGTAAGGACTTCACGCCTTAACTACATAGACAAAAGTAATGAATCTTCCGTGGCTCTTTTCAGCCACATATCTCAACTCGGCAACAGCCCTGAATGTAAAAGAACCCGATCTCATGGGTTTACTGTAGCCGATATCGCTTCAGCCACCATTTCGGTGCCCTTGTGATAGATTCCAGTGCAACCCCCCATCAATGAGAATCAGACGCATGAAATACGCCTTTGCTCCTTTGCACTCACCTGGCTGAGGAGAAGGAGTCGTGAAGAGCAACATTGGTGATCTCCAGAAGTTCACCAGGTGGCTTAGCTTCCTCTATAACTGCCAGAACTCTAGTCCATCGGGGTCAAGTCTCAGCATAAACATCCATGAAACTGCTGAAACCTCTTCTCAGGCGGGCATTACCTCGGAGAATGCTAAGAAAGTAATGAGGGTTTATCGATCCTCAAGCCATATTTAACAGGAGAATGTCTGGCGTCTGAGGGAACTTGATAATTTATCTGTGCCAGGAACTCAGAAACACCTCGGGACGATAGAATCATGCGTTCATAGCTGCAGTGAGGCCATCTTCCATTGTTGGACCTCTGTTTGACATGGAAATTGCCTTACAGCATACGAGCTTTGGCCGACGTGTTTGATAGCTTGATTCGCGGCCAAATACTTCGGAGCTCGAGCTATCACAGTATAAACAATCAAAACGCGGTAACTTCAGGGAACTAAAAGATAGATGGAGCATAGACTGCAGATATGATTTTCTGTCCGGAGGTTTCATCACTTGTTTCTGAATGCTTGCTATCTATAGCTAGAAAATTTGAGGCTCCCGTACTGAAACTGAGAACGGATGTTAGAGTAGAACATTATAGATAGACTTTGTTCTCATGTGTTTTATGAGTATTTATTAATTTGAACTGGGATACAGAGGCAGCTACTGTAAGGTCTGATGATGTTCTTCACAGTTAGCTTTAGCTTACTAGCCTCACCCCATCATATAGAGCAGTCAGTCCTTATTAGAGTTAGATCATTAGTTTGTTTAGAGAGGCTTTTTGATCTAGGTAATCCAGGTCATTTGCTTGATCCTTAATTTAGCCAGATCACCCAACCCATGATAGCTGGCTTAGATGTCAACCGTAATGAATATCACGAGATCTTACAGCTTCCCTTTATAGTTCATTATCATGAATAGCAATGGTCATTGCGTAGTTATATGAGGGAGTTAGCTACTGATAGTACTTGCTTATAAAGTTCAGAGGGCTTATATCTCAGCTCGAGTCTTGACTCCTAAGATTAACGCCACGCTTTGCGAGTTCACTATTTGAATTTTGATTCACAATTGGTGAACCTAAAATATCCGAAAATCTGATATAAAAGCCAAGTGACCTTATGTCAGCCAATTCAAGACATTAGTAAAGACAAGATATCACAGAGCACAAGGGTGAGAGGATCAGGATGGATAGGCAGGCATACATCAATTCCTTCAGCTTCCATGATCTTTTTCTTCTGAACTGGTTCTAAAATAAGGCCATCCCAGCAATAGGAGTTATTGGACAGCTGTGAATGTGCGATTCCTAGTTCAAAGAGACAATCATCTTATTCTCTGCACGGTGTCTGAGTTGACTGCTTGATACGTTGTCATATTGAGGCTGTCTTGAAGTTCCAACTTCCATCTAGCTACGCAAGAAAGATCTTGCCCAAATGGCTTCACGGAATTCATGATTGTCCGAGACTCCAGCTTCTTCAGTCAAAGGGCAGCACTGCAGGGGAAATTCCCGGTTTTACGCGGCTGTATCAAGACATTTCTCGGCTGTTGGTTAGGGATAATGTCATATGGGCCACTGGCCGTGATAAAAACGGGTGAATGGCCATTTCATGAGCCTTAGGTAGGGGCAAGTGATGGAATGTACGTCAGAGTCTGTGCGACTTGTTGTTGATTGTAGTGAAACCAACTATGAACTCACTAATTAATTGTCCTTGCTATTTTCCAGGGCAAAAAGAATGACGATGCAAGGCTGTTGTTCCATTAAAACTTGAGGTTCAAGGGAGATGCTGGCTCTGATGTCATAGGTCACATTGGACCCTTATCTTGGAGGGATAACTAACATGGATGGGAGGCACTTGGACCTGGGCACAGACAAGCAACGGAACATTCAATCAGTGATTTACTGTAGTTGAAACGTCGGATCTAGTGGAGGCTGAGGCGGTTAACGGAAGTGCCAACTCATCATCCAATTCAGCCTCAAGTTACACTGCAGTCACATCACATAGTCACAGCATATCGCTCCCTACGTGTAATGTTACTTGGTCAACACGCCAACATATGCACAAGACGTTGGACCTGCAGGGGCCACAGCTAAGTTAGCGGTTAGTCAGGGGTAAGGTGATCGTCTTGGCTGAATGTTTCTCTGATCTGCTCGTGATCGAGAGAACCGCATTCCAGTTGATCTGCGATAAACAGGCTTCATGCCTGTTGTTGTCCAGTTCGATAGGTACAACAGCCTACCCTGGATCATCATCAAATATGGTATTCGTCATGGGCTTGCGCTTGTTGTCTCGCTTCAGTCTCCCTTTCAATTCCGTTCGCCAGCCTCCAGAAAGCAACGCCCGAGCTCAATCGAGAGACTGGGGATAGTATTGCCGCTTAATCAAGCGTCTGATATGAACGAAAGGAACAAGGTGAAGAAGTTCGATTCCCTTTGCTGCCGTTGCTACAGCTGCCGGCCTCAACACCTATCTCATGCGCCGGGACGAGATCGTCAAGGGCATCGATGTTCGACCTCCTCGACGTGGCTTTGAAAGGTGGATCCTCCCCCAAGGACCCTGTCAGTCCAATTCATCGTCATCCTTGCCCAAACTTGGTTGAATCACTCAGATGGACCCGTCATCACTGCCCACTTTTGCCAAATCAATTCTCCTCCACTTGGAGCTAAGCAAAGGGAAGCACTTTACCTGCAGCAGCAGTTGATCGTGTCTCATCAAACGATATGGCCCTGTACAGAAGACTCGTCTCGTCTCATATTTGCTCAGTCACGCGTGCGCGACTCGGGAAGAATTCTTTTCCTACTTCTACTCCTTTCCCCTTTTCAGCTCGTAACTTTGAGCCATGGCAATAGACTCCAAACGAGACGAGACCCAAGAGCCTGGTCAAACACGAGGCCCAGGCCTGGCTCTGGGTTGGGCTGGACTGCATTGGAACTGTAAAACTTGGCGATAACCCACTGAAGCCCTTCCACTAAAAAACTCGGCCTAGCTTCTGTAGGCCTGTTACTGTACATAGCCTCAGCTGCCAAAGTGAGCGAGCCCCCCCGGATAGGGCGCTGGAACGGCCCCTGCCTTTAAATCGCTAGGGCACGGGCTCGCACTGAACGCGCATCCCGTTAGTTCGTTTTCTCGATAAGGTCTACTTGGCTCTCAAGTATCGACAAATCGACCACCGCAGCAACCGTGAGCATTGGCTATTCCCAACAAGGATTAACTCATCGGCAAGCGCCTGCAGTGTGATAGCGTGGCGTCAGCGGACGGTTCGTGGCGCAGGCGGTTCCTCTAAAAGTTTGGTTGGAGGAGCCAAGGCCTCGACCCCATCGCGTCTCTTGTTCCCTGCTAGATCTCTGCTGTCTGACTGGTTGGCATCAAAGAGGTACATGCCTTGGGCGTATCTGCACTGACTGATGCTCCTTCCATCAGCGAGTCGAGATTGGAAAGACCGAGTGAGGCGGGAACATGGAAGAAGGCGCGATTCATGAGGCGCATGGTCGTTCCTAACCAATCTGAATTGAATCCTTTCTTGCCTTTCAAGTCCCTGGATATTTCTGAATCAAAGTACCTCAGGTACATTATCTCGGATTTTGCTTGTTCTATTTTTTGCTTCGTCTGCATCATTACATCGTCAAACGACTTTCCCAAACGACTCCACCTCCCAATTACGATCCGCGACCGATACGATACGACACGACTTCTGGGACTTTGTCGGATTAGGACCCATCTCCATCTCACAAGCTTGCGGAGAACCAGGGACCGCGGCCGCCCGTGCTACATTCAGGTCAGGTTCAGTTCGTACTCCGTAGTCAGTTACGGACGGTACCATACAATACCTACCCACGTATTCGTACATACCAGGGTCTCTCTCTCATTTTCCCTCTCGCCTTTTCTCTCTTTCTCATTTTACGCTCTTCGTGCCTGCTGCCAGAGCCTGGCAACAGTAATCGAATTAAACAAGCCACAGCATTTCTCAGTCCCTATCAACCTGTCGGCTTCTCAGAGCCTGTGGAACGTGGCTCATCTTGTCTCAGGCCCCCGAGGTCTCACAGTAACTCGCTCGCTCGCTCGCTCGGATCTCTCACTTATCTCGCCGCCCTCCAGCTCCAGCTGCAGCTCCCGTCCGTCGTCCGTCGTCTCCCCGTTTGGCACTCACAGCCGTTTCCCTGACTGGATTGGACTGGCTTGTCGTCACTCGTCGGCTCCGGAGGGTCCGCCCATCTTTCTCCATTCCCTCTCCAAACTCTCTGAGGGATTGACTTTTCCACGTCTGGTCGGTCTCCCAACGGACTTGTCGTCTCATCTTGACCTGTCACGCCAGGTCAGGTCACGTCTTTCTCTCTGCCCGGGCCGAGAGCACAGGACGTATCCAACTGACACACATACGCCCGATCACAATGGACTCGTACGTTGCCATCATTGCCATCTTGAATTCTTGACTCAGTATACCTCCGTTCTCCGCACCCGCTTGCACCTTCTTCTCTTGTTCCGTCACACATACTCTCCAGCCCGAACTCTATCACCAAACTTGGCCACCACATCTTGTCGGCTTTGAGCTTACGCGCTGTAGATTTATTCCAATGTCCGCCGCGGCCGCCGCCGGCTGGGGTCAACCACTCGCGACAAAATCGCCAGCTTCTCGGCGGTCATTAGGTCATTTTCGATCTCTCTCCTCCATCGCAGCGACCCCTAGCTATCACCCTCGAACGCCTTCGCTCACTCCCGACCACACACCGATCAAATCCTCC